TAGGAAATCAACATGTTGGATTGGCTATTGGCTTATGTTGTGGCCTTACGGACTCTACCGTGATTGATCAATTCGCTTAATGCTTACGTTTTACTGCTTCAGTTTTTTTATGTGCCATAGCCTTAAAAGATAGTAAGACGTAAGCAGAAAACGAATCGACTAATCATAATAGAAGACGTAAGATTATTGCCTTACGTTCTCTATTGTGACTGGCCAATGCACTTACTGCTTATTTCTTACGTTTTTTTTTTTGTTATAAAGCCTGTCCTTTGTAGCTGAGCTGGCACGTTTTTCTATGTGTTTCTGGCTTTATTCGTTCATTGCTCAAGTATTTTGTGTGTCATAGCCTTACTGATTTAAATTTTAAAAAGTAAATTGCGACTACGTCGTGTAACTCGAAACTTTGATTACGAGGAATATTGATATAAATATAAACATGCAGAGAATGTAAGCATGAAAATGTAAGCACGTGGATGCAAGAATTTCAAAAAAGGATGGAAGATGATGTCGCTTCGCTAATTGTCGCACGTGAGACGGGTCCAGGGCGTGCGCGGGATCGCGAGGAAAATCGCACGCATGGTCGCTCGCGCAGAAGTGGGTCAGCGCGGAAATCGCGGCTCGCACGCGCCATTTTTCACAACGAAAAGGAAAGCCATTCGGGCAAAATCTAGTCGATTTGCATAGGCTTCGGCCGTGCAGCCGGCTGTAACGGTGCTCCGGCCTACTTCAGTCGCCCCACTGAGTGCGGCTCGAGGCGCGAGCGCGATATGGTTTCGGCTTGTAGTCACGGCACGGATATTCGCGAACGGCGGCGGTAGGCCCTCCCCCCCTCCTCTTCGACGCCGACGGTAGGTCCTCCTCCTCTCCCTTCCGACGCCGATGATAGGCCTCCCCCCCTCCCCCGACGGTCTCGTGGGCCCCGATGCGAGCCGCGAGGACGAATGAACGAACGAATGAAATACGGGTACCCCTTGCGATGCACCATTACGACACACACACGCGAACGAAATGCGTGTGCACGGAGCACGTGACTACGCACCGATGGATCGACATTTCGTTCCGGGATTGCCTCTTGCAGTGGAACTGATGGAAGAAATCAGGAATTCCCCATGCAAGAGAAGAAGATTAAGAGTTTATTCAAAATATTTATAGAGATTATAAAAATAAGATAAGAGAAAAAATTTTTTTAATTTAATATAAAATTTATAAATAAATGCATCCGATTCTAAAATATATTTGTTGTTATATGGGAAATATTAAGCTAATAATAATTTATTAATTTTTCATTTTTCTGTACTTATTAATTTATTTTTAAATAAAAAATTCTTCTGAGGAATTTATTTGATATGAAAAAATTCTTTTAATAAAATAAAACAATTAATAATTGCAATATAATTTGGCACTATATATTATAGAATAAAAATCATTATAGATGAAAGATTTTTCGTATGTTAAATTAGATGCATTTGTCGATTAAATGTTGATTAAAAGTTGTAAAGATTTTGACTTTTACGATCTAAAATAGAAGAGAATGAAGCTGCAAAATATAATATATTCATATAGATAAGAGACTATTTCAGATTATAAGAAGCTAAGTAAAAAATGGACATTACAGGTCAGACATGTCAGATCTATATCGAAGAAAATGCAGCGTATGTTCTCACAAGATTTGAGAGATTTATTGTTCGTTAATAATATCTACAAAGTACTATCGTCTCAACATTTTTTTTAGAGACACTTATAATCATTATTATTAACGCAAGAATATCGTTGTTATTAATTTTATTTTGTTACAAAAAAGGATTTATTTAGCAAGCTTGAATGATAAGAGAAAATAACAAGAAATATAATACAAAGTTAATCCATGATACAAGAAGAGAACAGGATTTCGATGGACGAACTCTTTGCGTTTGGCTTAATGTTTCAAATTCAACAACGTTTTAAATTTAAACAGAGAGAATTTAAGAGAGAAACGTGTTCGCCATAAACATGGGCATGTCGTAAACACTGGCTCCGCACAAATTGGTACGGCCGAATTTGTCGTATCGCACGGATACCCGATGATCCCATTGATAAGTAGCCCACGGAGGCATCGTCGTAGGACCGAAAAAGCAGATCCGATCGATCCTCGAGACGGATCCACCGCGCGATCGCGAAGAGTCTCGTCCGCGCCGCTGGATAACGGTATATAGCAAGAGAGGACCCCCTGTCCTCTCGCTTCCCAAGTGCCAAAGAGAGGGATTGCGAAGGGAGGGAGTACCTATTCTGAAATGTTTACCATTGACAAGGACGGGCTCTTACCGACGACAAGGACGGGACTCGAAGTTGGTCTGACAGAACGAGAGGCAAAAAAAAAGTGCGAGGAGAGGGGAATTTTGCGAGAGGGGGATAACGATGACGATGGCGATGACGACGACGATGACGATGGACACTTGAGGAGGTGACGGGCGAGGACCGATTTGCACGTTTCTCATGACGTGTACCGTACGACTACGCGGATACGTCAATCGAAACTGAGAGAAAAGGGATATTTAATTTGAATCTCTCGCGGAACAGGATGCAAGCAATGAAGGGCGCTTACTTCTGCGTGAATAGGGGTTATTCTTTTTATGGAAAAGATAGTGGCAGGTGGATCTACCGCTTCTGTGAATTCGGAAACGCGTAATTGTTATGCAGCAGCGAATGTGCATTGAAAATCCGGAAGAATAAAATTTTGTTTTTCTTTTACATGGAATAAGTCAGGAAATAGATATATCTGAAACTTTGTTTACATTGTTATGTCGTAGCGTGTAGCGTTTTAATTTTGTGTCTCTTTGATCATGTTTCCGAAATCTCCGGAATCTCCGATTTCTTCTTTCCAAGTATCATTAGTATTCCGAATATACTGAATATTTGTATCTATTTTTCTGTTTTAAATCCGATCATTAAAATACATTTTTTAATACATTTAATACATTTTGAATTTTGAGTTATAAGTTTATGAAAAATTTGCGATAAAATAAAGTGTGACAAAAATTTTACAGATAGATTGTAATCAAACCATTGACAGATAATCTTTGTCCTTTTCATTAATAAATTATTTTTAATTAGAAAAATTGAATTACTTTTAATTTTATTAACTTTTACTTAGTTGAAAATATAATCTATCTTGCAATCTATCTTGCAATTATTATCATCGCAGCATCAATTTAAGAAATAATGAAGTTTGTTTTTATATAAAGTATTCTTATATAAAATTAATGCGTTTGTATAAAAAATAGTGAATATTGATGATATAGTGACTCAATTTAATATATTTTTTAAATACAGGTGAGTAGATTCATTAATTATTATTATGGTTCTGGTTAAATAGTAGATATAAAGAAGTAAAAATATAACTAACGCATTAAAATTAATAAGGAATAGCAATCTTAAAGTTGATAACATATACTCGCTATTATAATATGATTATTTCGCTTAATAATTAGTATTATTATTAGTATTATTAGTATTATTACTCGTTAGCTGTTGAATTATAACTAATTTATTAAATTAACTCTAATAAGCTTATTATTTATATAATAACATAGACTTAAACACGCTTTTGCTGCTTCTTATTAAATTAATTTACTTTCTTATAAATGATTGTAATTTTGTTAAATTTTCTCTATCATAAATAATCTTTAAACGCCTATGGGAACAATGCACTCAACCTAATTCGATCATGCTTATTATTTTCAGAGAAATGAACATAATGTAAAAACATAATGTAATAATTTTTTTTTAAACGTCAGACATAAAAAACATAACGGTATTAAATTGAGTAAATATATGTATCTTTATTAACACAAAGATTATAAGCAATAAAAAAAGCGTTGAAAAAATTATATCAAAAAGGCGTTTAAAGATATTAACAATGTGTCAATATCTTGTTGCAAACATGTGTATATAAATGAAAGATATCTCATACTTTTGTCTTTGATTATCTCAACATGCCTCGAATTCTTTTTTCACATGATCACAAATAAATTTTGTGACGATGTAAATATGCTAAGTCATATATAATTCGTAATTTACACACTATGTTGCGATAGAGTTGCAATGTTAAAAATTACAATGCAATAGAAAGTTAAGATGCTATAGAAATACAGAGTGCAAGATTTTAACAAGTTGCAACAATATTGTTTGCAACAATATTATTTTATTGTTGCAACAAAATATTTTTATAAAGAACAAAATTAAAGACTCGTCTGTAGAATAAATGGAATTTGGATAAACACAAATATTATTCACACAATAATTATTCCAACTTTGTTAAGTACACACAATATTCACGTATCAGAATTAATTTCGATCTCTAACACTTAGATTAATAAACAGATAATTTATAAATTATACTTCTATACAAGAATTAATTTTGGTTGAAGGATACCATAAAAATTGAAATTAATGCTAATACAACCGAAAATATTAGGTGTAGTAAAAAGAAATCCATTATTTTTGCATGAAATTGAATGGAAAAATAATGGATTTCTTTTTACTACACCTAATATATTATATTTGTGAAAAATTATACAACTATATCAATACCCTATTTGTGAACCAATATTGCATGTATCGCACATTTGTCAGTTTGTCTGAATATCCCTGTTTAGACAAGCTAATAAATTTATTTTTAATGTTCTTATTATTATGTTTCCATGTTTGGTATATGGTTAATCACTAGACTAATCATAATATTATGATATATTACTAATACTTAATTATGTAATTATTAAAATAAATTTTTTTATAATTATAGAATTTTTATTAATGTTATAATTTGTTATAGGTCGGCAATAAAGCTACGGGGGAAATTCAACAGGATTTAAAGTATATACTTTAAGTCAAAATCTAGTTTTAATATTGTCAAGTAAAGAAGATCAATAAGAATTATGAAGATTTACAATTACGGAACAGTATATAATATACGTGAACTAAATATATTACAAGATATTCAAACAAGAAAGAACATTGAAATAATGCCTGAAAGATTAGCAGAGAATGCAGTAGTAAACAACAGTGCTGAATTTTACGACAAGAATGTAATGCAAAACGGACCAAATTTAACCCAAATTTCCAGATCGGATATACTCAACAATACGAATTCAACAAACTGTAAATTTATATAATTATTTATATTACACACATTTTATTTATATTATATAATAAATATATCATTTAATAAATATATAATTACGCACGTTTTTATAAATGGAAAAAGCTAGACTGGATAATTTTTCTAAATTGTAAATTTCAAAATGTTGAGGATTTGAGATTTTTACCCAGTCTTAAATATATATGTGCGTAGTCCTAAGATTAATATAATTAATTAATATTATTATTATTTGTGTCTATTGTTTGGATGCACTTTCGTTGCAAATATTTGATCACCTCAATATATAGATTCATTCTAAACGATATCAGTCTCGAATTTCTTTAACTTATATATTTTATATTATTTTATTGTGTATTCTTTAATATATACATTTTTATGTTATATTATTTATTTTGTTATATTATATTTTGTTTGTTTTATTTATTATTTATTTATTTTTTATATCATTTTTATACACATATATTATTTCGTTATTTATCATCATTTAATTATTTATCTTATTCTTTTCTTTTACTTCATGTTAATCATTTTGTGATAGATAAGATATTATGGATAAGATATTATGAACATATTGTGTTCAATAATTTAAAAAAATTTCGGGCATAGGATCAAATATAAAAATCAGAATGATGGCATGAATTAATCTTAATACTGGTCAAGATGAAATATCTCACTGGGTCCCTTCTTCCAGATTTCCCTTTATCTCGCCGATAGTATCGTTCGGTACAAAAATATATTTTTAAACGCAGCAATTTGGTCGACTTACTCGACCGTGGCTGGCTAATGTGCTACTAACCCAGTTAGCCGGAGCAAGTCTTTCTTCTTGAAGAGAGGGATCTGCGCCTACCCGGCATATACACACGTCATGTGTATATACGCACTGACACGTGTTTATGTGTATTGAAGTGGTCGCGTACATGATGCATCCGCATGCGGTCGCGTGTACATGTAAGCAAATGCGAGTGTGACCGTCGGATCGTATCAGCTAGACCTACCTACCTATTCACCATACGAACGTCCACTACTATCATACTTTGCGGCATGCCTCGCTTGCCTCACGGATTTGCTCCTATTCATTTTCTTCTTTTTTCTCCCTTAGCATCCATCTCGAAGAGACATTGGAATTCCCCGTAAATTCTTTTTCTCTCTTTTTAACTCCCTTTTTCTCTTTTAATGTTCGCATGCGTTCTTTAATGAAATTTTTTTTACATCTTTATATCTTTATATACGGAATCTTTTGTTCCCTTCTATTGTTTGTCAGTAATAATTTAATTTTTAATTTAATTTAAATTAAAAAAAATAGTTTAATGATAATATAATGATTATATTATA